TGGTGGGCGGGGAGGTGACTGATTGACTATGTTTATATTGAACCCACTTTCTCCTCTCTCTCTCTCTCTGTATATATATATATATATATATATATATATATATATATATATATATATATATATATATATATATATATATATATATATATATATATATATATATATAATGTTATAAATTTAATTGAGTATATTTAAAAGAATACTACTAAAAGTTGTGTTTGTAGGGACCCTTATCCTCGAAGAGGAAAATATGTAGCACCCGGTGGGATTCTTGTGGTTCCCAACTTCATTCTCAGGGGTCGTGTACCCCTGCCAGGTGGCCTGGGGTCGTGTACCCCTGCCAGGTGGCCTGGGGTCGTGTACCCCTGCCAGGTGGCCTGGGGTCGTGTACCCCTGCCAGGTGGCCTGGGGTCGTGTACCCCTGCCATCTGTGTTGCTGTGCGGACGCCCAGACCGCTGAGTTTGACGAGAAGGGAAAGTTGTTTCCACCCCGTGGGTCGTTCTAAAGCTGAATGGCTTTATCTAAGAGTGATTCCAGTAAGCTGCCGTGCTCACCAAGCTTGAAGGTGTTGTAAGATAGCAGATATCTCGGAAAGGTTATCGTGAGGAGGGACAGGCATTATAGGTATCTCTCACTCTCCAGGGCGGGAGTTGTATTATCTGTATACATACATACATACATACACATTTATACAACATACACGCTCCTGTAGCCTGCTGAAACCTGCTCCCCTGCTCCTGTAGCCTGCTGAAACCTGGTCCCCTGGTGTCGTAGCCTGCTGAAACCTGGTCACCTGCTCCTGTAGCCTGCTGAAACCTGCTCCCCTGCTCCTGTAGCCTGCTGAAACCTGGTCCCCTGCTCCAGTAGCCTCCTAAAACCTGGTCCCCTGCTGCTGTAGCCTGCTGAAACCTGGTCCCCTGCTGCTGTAGCCTGCTGAAACCTGGTCCCCTGCTGCTGTAGCCTGCTGAAACCTGGCCCCCTGCTGCTGTAGCCTGCTGAAACCTGGTCCCCTGCTCCTGTAGCCTGCTAAAACCTGGTCCCCTGCTGCTGTAGCCTGCTGAAACCTGGTCCCCTGCTCCTGTAGCCTGCTGAAACCTGGTCCCCTGCTCCAGTAGCCTCCTAAAACCTGGTCCCCTGCTCCTGTAGCCTGCTGAAACCTGGTCCCCTGCTCCAGTAGCCTACTAAAACCTGGTCCCCTGCTCCTGTAACCTGCTGAAACCTGGTCACCTGCTCCTGTAGCCTGCTGAAACCTGGTCCCCTGCTCCTGTAGCCTGCTGAAACCTGATCCCCTGCTCCTGTAGCCTGCTGAAACCTGCTCCCCTGCTCCTGTAGCCTGCTGAAACCTGCTCCCCTGCTCCTGTAGCCTGCTGAAACCTGGTCACCTGCTCCTGTAGCCTGCTGAAACCTGGTTCCCTGCTCCTGTAGCCTGCTGAAACCTGGTTCCCTGCTCCTGTAGCCTGCTGAAACCTGGTCCCCTGCTCCTGTAGCCTGCTGAAACCTGGTCCAATGCTCCTGTAGCCTGCTGAAACCTGGTTCCCTGCTCCTGTAGCCTGCTGAAACCTGGTTCCCTGCTCCTGTAGCCTGCTGAAACCTGGTTCCCTGCTCCTGTAGCCTGCTGAAACCTGGTTCCCTGCTCCTGTAGCCTGCTGAAACCTGGTTCCCTGCTCCTGTAGCCTGCTGAAACCTGGTTCCCTGCTCCTGTAGCCTGCTGAAACCTGGTCCCCTGCTCCTGTAGCCTGCTGAAACCTGGTTCCCTGCTCCTGTAGCCTGCTGAAACCTGGTTCCCTGCTCCTGTAGCCTGCTGAAACCTGGTTCCCTGCTCCTGTAGCCTGCTGAAACCTGGTTCCCTGCTCCTGTAGCCTGCTGAAACCTGGTTCCCTGCTCCTGTAGCCTGCTGAAACCTGGTTCCCTGCTCCTGTAGCCTGCTGAAACCTGGTTCCCTGCTCCTGTAGCCTGCTGAAACTTGCAATGCGGGGCATGATACAGTCTGTAGTTACACAGTTGAGCGTGGAAGCGAGAAGTCCGCAGTTCCGTGCTTGACAAATATTAAAGCTCCCCGGCGGAGCTCAGACGGCTCGCAGGGGCTCTGTGAGCTCCTCTCAGCTTGGGAACACACTCGTAAATCCCAGCCGAAATTCTGAGGAGATTTCAGGTGGATTAATTGTGAGGGAGATTTCAGGTGGATTATTTCAGCGGGTAACTGTTACCATTTGCTGCGTGAGTCTTTGTCCAGCTTGGTGGATGACACACCTGTCTGTGGGGGTGTAGATGGATGGCACACCTGTCTGTGGGGTGGTTGGTGGATGATACACCTGTCTGTGGGGGTGTTGATGGATGACACACCTGTCTGTGGGGTGGTTGGTGGATGACATACCTGTCTGTGGGGGTGTAGATGGATGGCACACCTGTCTGTGGGGTGGTTGGTGGATGATACACCTGTCTGTGGGGGTGTTGATGGATGACACACCTGTCTGTGGGGGTGTAGGTGGATGATATACCTGTCTGTGGGGGTGTTGGTGGATGACACACCTGTCTGTGGGGGTGTTGGTGGATGATATACCTGTCTGTGGGAGTGTTGGTGGATGATATACCTGTCTGTGGGGGTGTTGGTGGATGACACACCTGTCTGTGGGGGTGTTGGTGGATGACACACCTGTCTGTGGGGGTGTAGGTGGATGATATACCTGCCTGTGGGAGTGTTGGTGGATGATATACCTGTCTGTGGGGGTGTTGATGGATGACACACCTGTCTGTGGGGTGGTTGGTGGATGACACACCTGTCTGTGGGGGTGTTGGTGGATGACACACCTGTCTGTGGGGGTGTTGGTGGATGACACACCTGTCTGTGGGGGTGTTGGTGGATGACACACCTGTCTGTGGGGGTGTTGGATGACACACCTGTCTGTGGGGGTGTTGGTGGATGACACACCTGTCTGTGGGGGTGTTGGTGGATGGCACACCTGTCTGTGGGGGTGTTGGTGGATGATATACCTGTCTGTGGGGGTGTTGATGGATGACACACCTGTCTGTGGGGTGGTTGGTGGATGACACACCTGTCTGTGGGGGTGTTGGTGGATGACACACCTGTCTGTGGGGGTGTTGGTGGATGACACACCTGTCTGTGGGGGTGTTGGTGGATGACACACCTGTCTGTGGGGGTGTTGGATGACACACCTGTCTGTGGGGGTGTTGGTGGATGACACACCTGTCTGTGGGGGTGTTGGTGGATGGCACACCTGTCTGTGGGGTGGTTGGTGGATGACACACCTGTCTGTGGGGTGTTGGTGTGTGTCACACCTGTCGTTCCTGGTGGTCACACACACACCTGTCGTTCCTGGTGGCCACACACACACCTGTCGTTCCTGGTGGCCACACACACACCTGTCGTTCCTGGTGGTCACACACACACCTGTCGTTCCTGGTGGCCACACACACCTGTCGTTCCTGGTGGCCACACACACACCTGTCGTTCCTGGTGGCCACACACACACACACCTGTCGTTCCTGGTGGCCACACACACACCTGTCGTTCCTGGTGGCCACACACACACCTGTCGTTCCTGGTGGCCACACACACACCTGTCGTTTCTGGCGGCCACACACACACCTGTCGTTCCTGGTGGCCACACACACACCTGTCGTCCCTGGTGGCCACACACATCTGTCGCGCCTGGTGGCCCAACACACCTGTCGTTCCTGGCGGCCACACACACATCTGTCGTTCCTGGTGGCCCAACACACCTGTCGCTCCTGGTGGCCAGGTGTGGGGGGCCAGATGTGGGGGGTCCAGGTGTGGGGGGTCCAGGTGTGGGGGTTCCAGGTGTGTGTGGGGGGGGCCGGCTTCTGGAGAAAGCACTATCGATGTTCCCATATTTTATTCCTGACATTTACGGCAGGTCCCGCCTCCGCGTGTGATGGAGGATCCGGATATGGTGGTCTTGGTTACATGGAGTGGCCTTAGTGGGCTCTAGCTCCCGGTACCCGGTCGATACGTTATTGGGGCCCCTTGAGGCACTCTGGGTCTGGTACTCTGGTACTCCTGGGGTCCGTGGGGTACTCCTGGGGTCCGTGGGGTGATTCTGGGGTCCGTGGGGTGATTCTGGGGTCCGTGGGGTACTCCTGGGGTCCGTGGGGGATTCTGGGGTCCGGGGGGTGATTCTGGGGTCCGGGGGTGATTCTGGGGTCCGTGGGATGATTCTGGGGTCCGTGGGGGGAATCTGGGGTCCGTGGGGTGATTCTGGGGTCCGTGGGGTGATTCTGGGGTCCATGGGGTTATTCTGGGGTCCGTGGGGTGATCCTGGGGTCCGTGGGGTGATTCTGGGGTCCGTGGAGTGATTCTGGGGTCCGTGGAGTGATCCTGGGGTCCGTCGGGTGCTCCTCACCATTCGTTCTCCTGCTGGCCCTCAGGAATGTTGTGTAGTTCTCCTGCTGGCCCTCAGGAATATTGTCTAGTCCTCCTGCTGGCTCTCAGGATATGCTATCTAGTCCTCCTGCTGGCCCTCAGGATATGCTATCTAGTCCTCCTGCTGGCCCTCAGGAATGTTGTGTAGACCTCCTGCTGGCCCTCAGGATATGCTATCTAGTCCTCCTGCTGGCCCTCAGGATATGCTATCTAGTCCTCCTGCTGGCCCTCAGGATATGCTATGTAGTCCTCCTGCTGGCCCTCAGGATATGCTATCTAGTCCTCCTGCTGGCCCTCAGGATATGCTATCTAGTCCTCCTGCTGGCCCTCAGGATATGCTATCTAGTCCTCCTGCTGACGCTCAGGAATGTTGTCTAGGCCTCCTGCTGGCCCTCAGGATATGCTATCTAGTCCTCCTGCTGGCCCTCAGGATATGCTATCTAGCCCTCCTGCTGGCCCTCAGGATATGCTATCTAGTCCTCCTGCTGGCCCTCAGGATATGCTATCTAGTCCTCCTGCTGGCCCTCAGGAAATGTTGTGTATCCCTCCTGCTGACGCTCAGGAATTTCGACAGTTACAACTTGCCAATATTTACAGGAAGAAATATCTCATGAGTGTGCTGGGCCAAAAGAAAGTAAATTGATAAGAAAGTTATTTTTGTTCCTCTCCGAGCGCCTCGACTCCAAGTGACCTTTGACCTCTACACGCTACAGTGAACCCCAGCCTCTACAGTGAATCCCAGCCTCTACAGTGAACCCCAGCCTCTACAGTGAATCCCAGCCTCTACAGTGAACCCCAGACTCTACAGTGAACCCCAGCCTCTACAGTGAATCCCAGCCTCTACAGTGAACCCCAGCCTCTACAGTGAATCCCAGCCTCTACAGTGAACCCCAGCCTCTACAGTGAATCCCAGCCTCTACAGTGAATCCCAGCCTCTACAGTGAACCCCAGCCTCTACAGTGAACCCCAGCCTCTACAGTGAACCCCAGCCTCTACAGTGAACCCCAGACTCTACAGTGAACCCTAGCCTCTACAGTGAACCCTAGCCTCTACAGTGAACCCCAGCCTCTACAGTGAATCCCAGCCTCTACAGTGAACCCCAGCCTCTACAGTGAACCCCAGCCTCTACAGTGCACCCCAGCCTCTACAGTGAACCCCAGCCTCTACAGTGAATCACAGTGACACAGTGTAACTAAGTGACCTTTCAGCCTTCGTGAGGGCATATCAGTAGCTTTAAAAGGTGTTTACTAACAAAGGTGCTCAATCGTTGCCTGAAGGAGGTGCTCCAGCGGTGTGTTATCAGAGTGCCAGAGGCACATGAGGGTGGTGGCACCTGGCGGCAGCTTCCGGCACCCGGGGTGCCAGCACTGGCCCGCTGCCATGATCTGAGCGCTGCCTGACTGACAGTTGAGCGCCACCAATGAACGGCAAGTGGAAGCGCGCGCTCAGGAAGGTGAAGAAGAGGATGGTGTTTAGCAAGTATGAACAGGTGCTTCAGCGGAGGTGAGTTGTGTTCTCTCTCTTGCTCTCTCTTGCTCTCTCTCTCTGTCTCGTGCTTCAGCGGAGGTGAGTTGTGTCCTCTCTCTCTTGCTCTCTCTCTTGCTCTCTCTCTTGCTCTCTCTCTTGCTCTCTCTCTTGCTCTCTCTCTTGCTCTCTCTGTCTCTCTCTCTCTCGTGCTGCAGAGGAGGTGAGTTGTGTTCTCTCTCTTGCTCTCTCTTGCTCTCTCTCTTACTCTCTCTCTTGCTCTCTCTTGCTCTCTGTCTCTCTCTCTCTCTCTCTCTCTCTCTCTCTCTCTCTCTCTCTCTCTCTCTCTCTCTCTCTCTCTCTCTCTCTCTCTCTCTCTCCCTCCCTCTCATAATTAGTGTGGAACCTTATTGATTAATTATAAATAGATGAAGACAAGAGTAACTTGCCTCAGTTATTGTGTTGGTCACTAGCACCCGGGTGTAGAGTGTACTGGTGCCCCGGGTGTAGGGTGTACTGGTGCCCCTGGTGCCCCGGGTGTAGGGTGTACTGGTGCCCCGGGTGTAGGGTGTACTGGTGCCCCGGGTGTAGGGTGTACTGGTGCCCCGGGTGTAGGGTGTACTGGTGCCCCGGGTGTAGGGTGTACTGGTGCCCCGGGTGTAGGGTGTACTGGTGCCCCGGGTGTAGGGTGTACTGGTGCCCCGGGTGTAGGGTGTACTGGTGCCCGGGTGTACTGGTGTGTAGGGTGTACTGGTGCCCCGGGTGTAGGGTGTACTGGTGCCCCGGGTGTAGGGTGTACTGGGGCCCCGGGTGTACTGGTGCCCCGGGTGTAGAGTGTACTGGTGCCCCGGGTGTAGGGTGTACTGGTGCCCCGGGTGTAGGGTGTACTGGTGCCCCGGGTGTACTGGTGCCCCGGGTGTAGGGTGTACTGGTGCCCCGGGTGTACTGGTGCCCCGGGTGTAGGGTGTACTGGTGCCCCGGGTGTACTGGTGCCCCGGGTGTAGGGTGTACTGGTGCCCCGGGTGTAGGGTGTACTGGTGCCCCGGGTGTACTGGTGCCCCGGGTGTAGAGTGTACTGGTGCCCCGGGTGTACTGGTGTGTACTGGTGCCCCGGGTGTAGGGTGTACTGGTGCCCCGGGTGTAGGGTGTACTGGTGGCCCGGGTGTACTGGTGCCCCGGGTGTAGGGTGTACTGGTGCCCCGGGTGTACTGGTGCCCCGGGTGTAGGGTGTACTGGTGCCCCGGGTGTACTGGTGCCCCTGGTGCCCCGGGTGTAGGGTGTACTGGTGCCCCGGGTGTAGGGTGTACTGGTGCCCCGGGTGTAGGGTGTACTGGTGCCCCGGGTGTAGGGTGTACTGGTGGCCCGGGTGTACTGGTGCCCCGGGTGTAGGGTGTACTGGTGCCCCGGGTGTACTGGTGCCCCGGGTGTAGGGTGTACTGGTGCCCCGGGTGTACTGGTGCCCCGGGTGTAGGGTGTACTGGTGCCCCGGGTGTAGGGTGTACTGGTGCCCCGGGTGTAGGGTGTACTGGTGCCCCGGGTGTAGGGTGTACTGGTGGCCCGGGTGTACTGGTGCCCCGGGTGTAGGGTGTACTGGTGCCCCGGGTGTACTGGTGCCCCGGGTGTAGGGTGTACTGGTGCCCCGGGTGTAGGGTGTACTGGTGCCCCGGGTGTAGGGTGTACTGGTGCCCCGGGTGTAGGGTGTAGGTAGCCCGGGTGTACTGGTGCCCCGGTTGTAGGGTGTACTGGTGGCCCGGGTGTACTGGTGCCCCGGGTGTAGGGTGTACTGGTGCCCCGGGTGTAGGGTGTACTGGTGCCCCGGGTGTAGGGTGTACTGGTGTAGGGTGTACCCGGGTGTAGGTGCCCCGGGTGGGTGTACTGGTGTACTGGTGCCCGGGTGTAGGGTGTACTGGTGGCCCGGGTGTACTGGTGCCCCGGGTGTAGGGTGTACTGGTGGCCCGGGTGTACTGGTGCCCCGGGTGTAGGGTGTACTGGTGCCCCGGGTGTAGGGTGTACTGGTGCCCCGGGTGTAGGGTGTACTGGAGCCCCGGGTGTAGGGCAGAGTGGGTGTAGGGTGTACTGGTGAGTGTGTGTGTGTGTGTGCATGTGTGTGTTTGTGTACACTCACCTAGTTGTTATTGTTGAACTCTGTCTCTTGGGTCCCGCCTTACATTTCCTTACCTTTCTTCTACTCCTCTGCGATTCCAGCTTCCACTTGTGTCCTCTTATCCTACTGTCTATTCCCCTCAGTATCTTGTACGTTGTTATCATGTCTCCTCTATTTCTTCTATCCTCCAAGGCAGTAAGGTCCAGTTCCTTCAGCTTATCCTATTAACTTAACCCTCTAAGCTCTGCCACTAATTTATTACCAAACCCAACACTTGTGAAACATGTGAAAACACATGTGTTCCAGCGTCGCATATGCCGCTGATGGTACTAGCTGGTACAGCTGGCCTGGACATTATGGCCAACTGGCCTGGACATTAGGGCCAGCTGGCCTGGACATTATGGCCAACTGGCCTGGATATTAGGGCCAGCTGGCCTGGACATTATGGCCAACTGGCCTGGACATTAGGGCCAGCTGGCCTAGACATTATGGCCAACTGGCCTGGACATTAGGGCCAGCTGGCCTGGACATTATGGCCAGCTGGCCTGGACATTATGGCCAACTGGCCTGGATATTAGGGCCAGCTGGCCTGGACATTATGGCCAACTGGCCTGGACATTATGGCCAACTGGCCTGGACATTAGGGCCAGCTGGCCTGGACATTAGGGCCAGCTGGCCTGGACATTATGGCCAACTGGCCAGGACATTAGGGCCAGCTGGCCTGGACATTAGGGCCAGCTGGCCTGGACATTAGGGCCAGCTGGCCTGGACATTATGGCCAGCTGGCCTGGACATTAGGGCCAGCTGGCCTGGACATTATGGCCAACTGGCCTGGACATTAGGGCCAGCTGGCCTGGACATTAGGGCCAGCTGGCCTGGACATTAGGGCCAGCTGGCCTGGACATTATGGCCAGCTGGCCTGGACATTATGGCCAACTGGCCTGGACATTAGGGCCAGCTGGCCTGGACATTAGGGCCAGCTGGCCTGGACATTATGGCCAGCTGGCCTGGACATTATGGCCAGCTGGCCTGGACACCCAGCCTCTAGTGGAGCCTGTCTCATTTCACCTGTCAAGTGTGAACATCTCACCTGTCAAGTGTAAACATCTCACCTGTCAAGTGTAAACATCTCACCTGTCAAGTGTGAATATCTCACCTGTCAAGTGTAAACATCTCACCTGTCAAGTGTAAACATCTCACTTGTCATGTGTGAACATCTCACCTGTCAAGTGTAAACATCTCACTTGTCAAGTGTAAACATCTCACTTGTCATGTGTGAATATCTCACCTGTCATGTGTGAATATCTCACCTGTCAAGTGTAAACATCTCACCTGTCAAGTGTAAACATCTCACTTGTCATGTGTGAATATCTCACCTGTCATGTGTGAATATCTCACCTGTCATGTGTGAATATCTCACCTGTCATGTGTGAATATCTCACCTGTCAAGTGTAAACATCTCACCTGTCAAGTGTAAACATCTCACTTGTCATGTGTGAATATCTCACCTGTCAAGTGTAAACATCTCACTTGTCAAGTGTAAACATCTCACTTGTCATGTGTGAATATCTCACCTGTCATGTGTGAATATCTCACCTGTCATGTGTGAATATCTCACCTGTCAAGTGTAAACATCTCACCTGTCAAGTGTAAACATCTCACTTGTCATGTGTGAATATCTCACCTGTCAAGTGTAAACATCTCACTTGTCAAGTGTAAACATCTCACTTGTCATGTGTGAATATCTCACCTGTCAAGTGTGAACATCTCACCTGTCAAGTGTGAACATCTCACCTGTCAAGTGTAAACATCTCACCTGTCAAGTGTGAACATCTCACTTGTCAAGTGTAAACATCTCACTTGTCATGTGTGAATATCTCACTTGTCATGTGTGAATATCTCACTTGTCATGTGTGAATATCTCAGCTGTCAAGTGTAAACATCTCACCTGTCAAGTGTAAACATCTCACCTGTCAAGTGTGAACATCTCACCTGTCAAGTGTAAACATCTCACTTGTCATGTGTGAATATCTCACCTGTCAAGTGTAAACATCTCACCTGTCAAGTGTTAACATCTCACCTGGCAAGTTTTCATGCTTGTAAACTGTTTAATAAATGTAACCAAAGCCGTTAAAGATTGAGGAAAGATGTACACGTTCGTAAGTGCTTGCGTAACTGCTTCGTGAATCTGGCCCCAGGGGAATAGTGACTGGCTAACGACCATGCTAGCCGTGAACGACCTTGTTAGAACAAATCACTATAACCTTCCTTCTTCGCATAACAGCTCAAAACATAAATATTTACATCTGGTTCATACTGTAGCTAATTAGATATAATATACATAATACAATATATATAAAACCTCATGGTACATAAGAATATGTAGCAGTATGTGGTCAACACATAAGGGAGTCATTTCTATGGACTACTGGCTGGAGACGGCTCACCAGGGGTCAGGGGGGGGGGGAGGAGTGCCAGCAATTACCGGTCGATCGATCGTTTACGACTTTGGAGTCCCCTAGTTGTGCTTGTGGGGGGTTGAGCTCTGGCTCTTTGATCCGCCTTTTCAACTGTCAGTCAACTGGTGTACAGATTCCTAAGGCTACTGGGCTCTATCATATCAACATTTGAAACTGTGTATTCTTTCTAATGTCTCTGTGCTCATTTGTATACTCAGTTTCCACCCGTGTCCCCTTGTGTGTGTACCACTCATGTTAAATAATCCATCCTTGTCTCCACTGTCAATTCCCCTGAGAATTTTGTATGTGGTGATCATGTCTCCCCGAGCTCTTCTGTCTTCCAGGGACGTGAGGTGCAGTTCACTCAGCCTTTCCTTGTAACTCGTGCTACTTAGGTCTGGGAATAGCCTAGTGGCATACTTTTGAACTTTTTCCAGCTTTATCTTGTGATTGACAAGGAATGGGCTCCATGCTGG